AATAAGAGCTTGACCAAAGGAGGGGAAAAAGGCAAAACTAAAACTGCTGGTCAAGGGCGAAGCTGTGGCTGAGAATTGTTGAGGAAAGACTGGACTGTGACCAAGTAGGCAGGAAGTAAAAATTAGAATCGCTCAAGCAAGGAGACTTTGACATACAGAAGAGTGGATAACAGGATTAGGAGCTCTCGAGGGAAATTAAGAGCAAACTAGGATTCACTAGGAAAAAGAGACTGACATTGTGTGAGAAATGTGAATGGGATGCACAGGAGTCATGGGAGTAGAATTAGCTAGGTTTGCCTGGGAAGAAGATAGGAAAAAAACATGTAAAGACAGAGCAGAGCTGAGAACAAAGGATGCATTTTGGAAGGGAGCTGAGAGCTTGATGGGTGAAGGCTGGAAACAGGGTAAAGCCTCTAACGTTAAAGAGAAAGGAGAAAACTTGGAGGCAGATGAAAGGTGACAGGGATCCAGCTTGATGCAAAAGAGTCTTTGTTCATTAAAACACACTGTCCTCCACAATCTGTAAAGAGTTTTAAGAATCACCAGTTCTCTAGGGTCATCAAATATATTTTAGAACCATTGGCAAAGTGTGTTTTTCCTCCTCTACTAGTTTGGCTTGTTAAATGGTGACATACTATACTAGACCTGTCGCAGAGAATCTGAAAGGTATTTTTATGGATAAATCCTATGAAAGTTAACATAGTGTCTCACATGAAATTACAAGATCTATTTTTGGTAGAAGAAGAATCACTCGCAAAGTGAAACCTTGAAAACCTTAGCAAATGCCACAGGTAATGCTGGCTACGCCTGCCAGAGAGAAGCTATAGAACAGCTTACATAGAGGGGACAACTGAGTAGAAGTCAGCCTGAAAAACACAGAGCCTAGAGGGGAAATTACAGAGATCTGTAAAAATCAGGAGTGGAACAGGTAAGATAGTGGAATGGGATTACCTGACGTTACACAAATACACATTGAGCGTGCCAATTTTAATCAGTTCCTCCTCAGACTGATGATTGCTGTGCATCTTCTGCTCTGCTTAGCTCTCTGCGTGACATGCACCCACCCAGAAGCCTGGACTCCACGAATTCAGGTCTTCAAATCCCTATTTCAATCTGCTCCTTCGGCCTTAATATCTGCACCTTGTTTCTCAACATATACAAACAGAGGTAATTGCAATACATCCTCTCCCAGGATATTGCCCGAGATAAGATCATCTGTAAAGGTTCACATTCTAAACCTTGAGGTAGTTTGATTTGTATCTAATGCTATCTGGCTCTGCTTCGTCAAGCCGATAATTACCGTGAGTGACAGAATTGTGAAACACCATTGTGTGATCAGAAGTATGAGAAAATCCCTTAATGTTCAGAGTTGGTTCTTAGTGACACAGTTTATGGTTCCTTCTAGAGGTACAATCACTGGTATTTTTCACTATAAGACGAAAATCTGGTATTTTTCCAGAGCTTGGTGAGTTTGGCCACTTTAGGGGTGACAGCCCCTGGCAGAAGAACCTCTAACACTAGAACAATCAGGTTCATACTAAATAATCATGCTCACACCAAACACACAGAGCTCCTTAGGCAGGGCAGACTGATGCTTTTTTTTCCCAAAATTGCAGGCTTTTTTATTCTTTTAAATGTCAAGGTTGTTCTACAGAAGAAAATACTTTAACGGATATGAAGTCTGAATTTCCTAAATGGAGTCCTAATCACCCTAAATGGGGTGATTTTTGTTCCTCCACCTGAAAGTTAAATGCCTATGAATTAATTTTGCTGATAGACCAGCATTTGGTTAAAAGGAAGTGTAATTAGGGCCTGTGTTTTCATAGGACTAGAACTTACAAATCGTAGCAGGGATCAGAACATTTTTCTTATTTTACCTCTGTAGTCTAGAATGCAAAAGACCAATATTCAAATTCCTGCAGCTCAGCTCAGAATGATCTAGGATAAAAAGTGCCTATGCATCAAGCAAGGACTCGGTGGCAGTGTCCTAGATGTAATCACTGTGGCACACTCACTTCTTGAATTGCAAAGTTTGGGTTTCATTCAGTTGCAGATATTTCAACACCGTATTACCATATGACACTGATATAATTATACTAGGAAATTAAGTGAGCCTTAGTACAGGAGATGCTGTACCTTCCTTTTAGACTAGAAACTAAACCAGTTATCTATACATTTGATAACATATGCTTGATAAAGAGAGGAAACTGGATTAGAGGAGCCTGTGGAAAACATCTAAAGATCAAAAGCAGAAATAAAGTGTGTGAACGTGTGTGTGTGTGTGGTGTGTGGGACGGTGACAGATCAAGAATGTGCAAAAGCATCAAATGGAAGAAAAAAATAAAATTCAAATAAATATAAAAATCAAATACATAATATTAAAACAATTGTAACAAAAAAAAGGAAAAAGAGGGGGCATGTTAAAAACATGCAGAATGTAAAACAGAGCACAGAAAGGACAGGCAGTCTTTTCACTCGTTGGTAATGCAGGAGAAAAAAAGATTCAAAGGAATCGAGAGACAACCATTCTAAAACTGGTAAACGCATGTCTTTATATATATATAAACCAAACGAATTGATGGATCTCAGTGCTCATTTTTATCATTGGAATAAAAGACTGAGTCAGATTCAAGACAGGAATAGCCATCCATGTAGAATAGCCATGTATATAAACACATGAACCCAAGGGCCTCAAAAAACCAAAACTGAAAGAATATTATTAAGGTTGCAAAGTCAACCACTTAAATATATCAAGAAATGACAGATTAAAACTGCTTGCCCAAGTTCAATTATGAAACAACTTTTCCACTAGACTACTATAATGCATAGAATATGCATCATTTCTTGATGCATTTGGTATTTTATTTCCCATTTCATTCAAGATGTGTCTTCAGTTGTTATTTATTACATGATAGGCAAACCATCCTGCAGAGGCAGAACTGTTCATTTAAAACCATCCTGCAGAGGCAGAACTGTTCATTTCTGTAGATTTTGCAATCATTTAATATGTACATTCTTCAGAAGTATGAGTGAATGTATAGCCCTGTAAGGAAATATATTATTTTATATACAGGGAATCAAGTTCACTCCTTGATGTGAAGATTGTATTTATTCCCTTCACATTCTTTTCGCTGCCACTCATCTTTTCAGCCTGTTCCCTGAGTCTTTACCCTCATCTCAAAAGCTCACACTCTGCCTTTAAGCCCAGCCAGCTTAATTTTGCTGTATTTCCCCCAGTCCTCCCCCAGTTCCCAATCCCAGTTGACTGTTTATTCTACAGACTGCTGATCTACATATTCCACTCCTGGTCACAGTCTCACTGCCCAAACATACCTCATTGCTCTGAACCCTGGTCTCTCCCTGCAGTTGCCTTTGCGAAAGCAGCAGGTCTGGATCCACTCTCCAACCCGTCCTGCCATTCCAGCCTCACCAGAGCGTGTCTTCCTGCATACCTGGGTCTGCTCTCCTGGCATCACCAGGAGATTGCTTTCTTCTCCCTGTACTGTAGTGAATTACCTTCTCTTCCACATGGCCATGTCACAGGCATCACAAAACAGAAGCTTCCTCCTCAGTTTTCTGTCCCACCAAGCTTTTCTTTGTTGAGGAGCAGAAAAGTTCCCTTCCAGACGAGGCCACAATGGGGAAAACACCTCTGATCTGGTGGTCCTGAGCTGAGGGTAGTGAGGACAGAAATGTACAGGCAGATCAGGATGGAAAGCCCTGACAGAAAAGCTGCCACAACGCTTCCTGCCTCTGCTTTCTGAAGGGGGGACAGAAATAAAGACCATTTAGTCTTGTTAGGGACCCAGAAGCTGTTGTGCAGGTCAAATATGAGTTTCAGGATCCTCGAGGTGGTTTGAAGACAACATTGCCACCGTGGTTCAATCTAGGATCATCTCCCCAGCCTTATTTTGCTGAACTCTTCCAGGACACAGCTTTCAACACACAATAAAAAACAGCTAGCACTAGGTAAACAGCAGCGAAGGACAAAGCTTGTCCCAGTTAGAGCCTGGCAAAGGAGACAGATCTCAGCAGAAGGTATTGACCATCCGCTTCTTTCAACACAATGAGATCTTCACAAGCTTCAGGAGGAAACTTGTTTTAAAAAGTAGGACTAAATACTTCACTACCGGGTAAAGCTTGATAAGAAGCTCCTTCTGGGAAGGTGGCTGATTTCTACAAGACTTCTTCTTTGAGGGTGGTGAGGCACTGGAACAGGTTGCCCAGAGAAGCTGTGGCTGCCCCATCCCTAGAGGGGTTCAAGGCCAGGCTGGATGGGGCTTGGAGCAACCTGCTCTGGTGGGAGGTGTCCCTGCCCAGGGCAGGGGGGTTGGAACTCAATGATCTTTAAGGTCCCTTCCAATCTCAACCACTCCATGATTCTATGAGGCTTGCGCTTTCTTTGACAGCAGCCGGCTCACCTGGCCACGGCTGTCCCCAGGCTGCCAGGGGGCTGTAGAGGAGGACAGGAGAAGGACAGAAGGACAGGAGGGCAGCTGCCTGCTCTGCTGAGAACCTGGGGGACTCGGAGCACAAACCGCTTGGCACCAAACACCTACGAACCCCTGACCACCACTGTGGCTGCAGCTGGCCAAACCAAAAAGGGACCATTTTCTCAGCACGGCATGAAGTGGTGGACGCGCTGGTGTATATTTTCTTCTCCCCTATGCTAAGGTTAAAATGAGTACAAACGACGGCTCATCAACTGCGAAGTGCCTCACGTCGCCAGGGCGCCCTGCCACCACGGGCTGAGGGGGCACCCCCCGCCGCTGCGTGCCCGGGGACCGAGTGGGGCGGCAGGGGGACGGCGAAACGGGCCGGGGACGGTAACAGGGACCGGCGGCCGGGCCTGGCAGGGATGGTGTCAGTGGTGGCTGTAGCTGTGGCTGTGGCTGTGGTGGTGGTGGCGGCGGGTGGGCCCGTCCCCTCAGGCGGCGGGCGGGGCGGAGCCTGGGCGCGCGCCCGCCCCTCCCGGAAGTCCCCCCGCAGCCGCCGAGGGGCCGCCTTCCTGCCGGCGCCGCTCCTCCTCCGGCCGGGCAATATGGTGGCGGAGGCGGCGCAGGGGGAGCCGTGAGCCGGTAAATCGTGAAACCTTCCCTCCTTCCCTACCGCCGTTCACCACCACCACCGCCTGCCGGTGCTTGCTGCTTCCCCGCCCGGCGGGGGTTTAGGCGGACGATGCGGCCGGCGGGGCGGCCGGGGTGTGCGTGAGCGCCGCTTGCCCCATGTGGGTGTCCCGGTGAGGCCCCGGGGAGGGGAAGGGAGGGAAGGAAGGAAGGAAGGAAGGCAGGAAGGCAAAAGCGGCGGGAAGATGCTGCTGTCGCTGGTGCTGCACACCTACTCCATGCGCTACGTCCTGCCCGCCGCCGTCATGATGGGCACGGCGCCCACCTACGTGCTGGCCTGGGGCGCCTGGCGCCTCCTCTCCGCCCTGCTGCCCGCCCGCTTCTACCGCGAGGTGGACGACCGCCTCTACACCATCTACCAGAGCATGGTGCTCTTCTTCTTCGAGAACTACACCGGCGTGCAGGTGAGCCGGGTTAAGGGAGGGTGGGCTGCGGGCGGGCCTGGCATCCCTCCCCCTGGCCGGGGGCCAGCAGCCCTCGGTGATGGTTTGCCTCTCCCGAGGGCTGGCCGGGCCCGCCCGCCGCCATGCCGCCTGCCCAGCAGGTGCGGGAGGTGCGCGGCCTGGCCCCCGGTACCGGTGAGGGGCTTGAGGAGGAGTGTTGGCAGAGGACAGGCTCGTCCCACAGCGGTGGCTGGTCCGGTGGTGCGTTCCGCGGAGGAATTGGTGTTGTCTTCGTTTTTGCAGGTCGGGGAAAAGCAGAAGGGATGCGACGGCGGCGGTGCTGGGTCAGCAGCACCTGAGGGGCAGCCGCCTCGGCGCGCTGGAAGCCTGCGTGGCACGTCCCTAGCGTTACACTGGCGGCAGATGAGGAGGCTGTAGTCGACTGTAACTGTGCTTAGAGACACGTCCAAGTTGTTAATAAATAGGTTACTCGCCCTCTACATTATTACAGCTTCTCCATCTTCCTGCAGTCTGACCCCTGGCAGGCTTTGGGCCCTTAAATTTTTGCACCAGCAGTGGATTGCGATGATTCGGTACCTCAGGAACTGAAGCCCAAGGTTTTTTGGCTTAATAAGTTGGAACCATAGGCCTCGCTTGGGTGACCAGAGCGGTATTTGCATTCAAATAATAATACTTCACTTACAGAGCGTTAAGTGTTTGAAGGGTTACATATTTGTCTGCGATTTGAAAAGTTAAATAAGGAGACTTTAAATTCTACATGTAAAAAAATAATTACGTAAATGACAAATGCTACTGTACCCAAACCTGACTTTCAAAGTCAGAAGTGTGTCTGAAGTTGGCGTCAGCTGTAGGTGCTCGAGAGTACAGAATAACAAGTGTTTACATGTTTGGCAAGTGACAGAGCTGGTACAACTAAGCCCTTCTTCATATTTACAGCTAAAGCATTCGTCCACTCTCTTCTGAAGAATTTATTTCAAAATCAGGCCAGGTCTCCCCTGATTTCCACTCTTGAGCTGCAGTTGTAGGCCTCACTTGGTACCAAAGTGGAAACCCCCAAAGCTGGCTATAGATAGGGGAATTGCACAGTTTGGCATCTGGGTAGATAGAATGGATACAAAAGGGAAGCGAGATCTTTTGGTGGTAATTAGATTTTGATTTGGCTTGTAACTCATGTGACTTCACCTTTGCATCTTGTCCAAATTACTTAACTTGTGATTTACGTATCTGGGTTTTTTTATTAAAAAAAGAAAAAGATAAAAAAGGCAAGAGAGAGTGGTACTTCACAGGCTAACTTCTTCCTGGTTTATCTGCCTTCTTTTTTAAGCAGCATCTTTAATGCAGATACCTTGATGTGTAGTAACACCCCTTGGTCATCAGCTGCTGAAAGTTGCAGTATAGTAGTTTAATTCAACCCATTCTGTGAATGAGAGCCAAGATTCAAGATATAAATTGTAACAGAAAAATTACTTAAATTTCTTAAAAATAGCATGCATGGAGTAGCAACCACTTAAAACTCTTGATAAGAACTTTTATCACAGAAATGTCTGTGATGTAAAGGTACAGAAAGCAAAATGCTAACCAAATGAAACAAAAAGGCAGCCCTCATCTTTTGGCCTCTATTTTCTTTTATTGCATTGTGGAAAAATTCATCCACACAAAAAAAAAAAAGAAATGGTGGGAGACAGTAGAGGTGATCACTTAGGACAATATTAAAATAGAGATGCTTTGTCACAGTAAGCAACAGATGATTTTAAGAGAAGAGGAGATCATATTTGTGAAGCTGAAATAAAGGATAACAGAAACAAATAAGAGAGCCCACAAAACCAACACAGCATCTTATAGGATAAGTAAAATAGTAACTGAGACTGAAAGGTAAATAAAATCTTGGAAAATAAGATGTATAACTAGAGAGGTAAGAGGTGGAATCCTTAAAATTCATGTATCGTTTAACTGGAAAATATCCTCCATTTGTTTATGAAGGAGAAACGGGGTGTCCTTTCAGACCTTCTCTTGCAAATACTGAACATATTTAACTTGAAACACACGATGGAAAGTTAAGCATGTGCCCAAGTGTTTGAGATTGGGATGGTAACCTGAGAGCTACTGTGAATTGGCTGTTTTAAGGCATGTAATTAGATACAGAAGTGTAGCATCATTAAACTTAATCACTTAATCCCAAAAAACAATGCAAGAATAGTAACTTGCATGGCTTCATAAAGGCATCTGTAGGGCTTCACCAGCATTAAGGCATCATACTAGCCATGGGAGGGAGGAATTCAGCATCTCTTTTGGCTCTATGAATTTATTCAATCAATTGAAGCGCGTTGGGATAATTTTTTGTAACTGGATAAATGAGAGGCCGACAGCCTCATCCATCAGAATGCTGAAACTTGTTGCGTAGTCTCACTGAAGTCATTAGGATTATACAGATGCTTAAGTGATTTACTGAATCAAATACTTAAGTAACTTTTTCTTAGCACTACTGCTGTCATACCCTATATAAAAAAAGTCTTAAATGTTATGTGCTGTTTAGCATCTTTGGTTTATTACACTTAGAGTATTTATGGGTTTTCGATATGATAATGCTGTAAGGCAGTTGTGAATATTTGAGATGCCTCATCTCAAAATAATAATTTTGCTGAAATTCCCAGTAATGTGAATGGGATTACTCCTTAATAGAGTAAGGTTGGTTTGGGTCATAAACATAGATTATTTTTTGACTGAATTAAATACTAGTGATATTTCTTTTTTAATTTACCTGTCAGGAGTTGATGTTTCTGCATATCATCTGCTGTTGGTCCATCAAGTGTCTAAATCTGTCTCCCCTTCACAACCGTATGCACAAACGTATTTTTCTTCTTTTTTTTTTGTTCTCCTTGACTTTGTTCTCCTTGGTTTTAGTCAAGCTTATTAAAACAGAAACTCTAGTTCATGCTAGGAAGGCATTTTATCTTTGTAGCAAATCTTTTTGGTTGTGAAAGGTAACTAAGTAAGGTGATCACCTGATCTGCATGACAGGAAATCTTGAAAGACTAATAGTTCCCTTTCTCTTAAGTATTTGACTTGAGATCTAAAATAATTACAGAGCTATAACTGCTGTGAATTACTGAGTATTTGTATTCTAGAGAGCAGCTCATGAAGTAACTGTAGAAGTTTCTTACTTTCTTATATGTAAATATATTACCTTTTTAAACTTTGGGTCAGACCTGGTTTTTTTCCAGCCAAATGTTTTGTTTTACGAAGCCTTAGAGAACTTGAGCTAAAATGGAATCAGGTTAGATTTTCCAATAATATTAGAATTCTGTTATTGAAATGCCAAAAATAGCCCTTTTGCTGGCTAGCATGCAAGAGTTGGCTGTAGAAAATTGAAGAACCAGTATTTAGGGTACAAAAAGCAACCCAGAACACACCGGTCCTGTAAATGAGGTAAACTGGACAAAGGTCTTCAACGATCTCCAGGATTGTATATACTCATAGTAATGAAAAATCTGTCAATGCAGTCTGTTGGAATGTGGCATGGAGAGAATGGTCCTGCTTTGGCCTGGTGTTGCTTTTGACACAAATGCAGGTGTGTTGCTTCCCACCTCTCCTGCTGTAAGCTGGAAAATCGCTACTGATACTCCTTTTTAGGAGGAATATATATGAGATGCTTGAAGTCTGTAGAGTGAGTAGAAAGTCTTGGACAGTGAAAGATGTTAATTTTATCAAGGATGAGCCAAAGCAGTCACTGACAGAAACTGGCGCAATTGAAGCGCTTTGGAGGACTTGAATTTGCTTGTGCTGATGGTTGGTTTGGCCCCAAATTTCAAAATCCTAAGTGGCCTGTGAACTGTGGTTGTGTTACTGCTTTTGTCCTTACTGTGTTCAGAAGGCCTGGTCCCTTACATTTCATACAGACAATAAACAGTTGCATCTTGCCATAGAATATGAAAACCAAAGTGACTGCAAATGTGCCTGTGATTAGGACGTTTGAAGGGCTGAAAGGACTAGTAATTCAATATGATGAATGCTGTCATCTCGCTGTGACCCTTAGCATCTTATCCCAGTTTCTGTCAGGGTGATGAAATTAATGCCTATTGTGTTTGTGCACATGTTTCACATCAGATGAGGACTAAATGTTCTTCAACTTTTTGTTGTAATTCCGCTTGGTATTTTGTATTGAGTGGCTGTGAAGAAATAATAAAGAAATCATCACTCGGACTGCTTCCTAAAGGATCGTTTTCCATCTGAAAGGTTTTGACAATGGAATAAAATCCATGACTGAATTAATATGCATGGATTTTGTTCAGTGCTTGTGTCAGCTCTCTTCCCTACCCCCACTTCCCACTTAGTAGGAGTTTTTGGAAGTGGTGCTTTCATTAAAGGCATTATGAAATTCTGGTTTTCATTGTCATTGCAGGACTCTGGCAGGGCAGTGAGAATCAGATGCTACCTCAGCGTTGTTTAGCAGAGCTGTAGTATTTCTAACAATTATTTCTAACAATTAGGAAATACAAGAGATGGTTGTTTAAACAATGCAGTGTGCTTTCTGGATTCATATTGAAGCTTGGGCTTTTTGTGTCTCAACAAGGTTGAAAACTACTTAGGATTAGAGCAAATTCAAACTTTGTGGAGACCCTGCAGTGCTGAACTCCTGACGTTGCTTTCAGGTGGAGTAGAGCCTGGGCTGTGTTTCATGTCTATGAGGATAGCTCAGAGTCTGAGTTTGAGATGGATGCTTTGTCTTCTAGCTAGTGGCCAATTTGCAGTGGCAGTGAAGGTCACGACCTCCGTGCCCATCTCTGCTCCTAGGACAGCAACCTTCCCTGACAATGTTATATCTACTAACTTCCTGCTTTCCCTTTTGAAGCTGTTCAGCCGTACCACAGGTAATTCAGTAGGGCCCAAGGTGGAGGTGGGAAGTAAGAGGCAGCACAAGTCCAATGGCCAAGTTGCAGCATACTCACATCAGGGAGGTGCTTCTGGTTGCTGTTGGTGAGGCGGGCTGTCATCTCTTTGGA